GGGGGGGGGGGTTGTGTAAAATGTGAAAAATCTAAATCTTATATGCAATTCTGTGGTATTCTAATTTTAAAATTCACCAAAATATCCTAGCTTGGTTTGATAAATAGTTCAAAGACAAAGAGACCAATATATTGTCTCTGATTATAAAATTAGTTCAGGAAAAAACCTAATAAACCTTATGATGTATAGTGGTAGGCGATTATATCAATATAATGAAGACGACTTTTTATTTGAGTTTTGATTGTTAACAAGCTTTTTTTCGAATTACAAGTTAACAAGCAATCAAAGAGGAGCTTTTCTTATTGACATCTTATCTTTGTTTTCAAGTTATGCTGTTTAACAGGTTGATTTAAATCAAAATTGAAATTGAAAGTCGTCTTCATTGTATTGATATTATTGCTTATCACTGTATATTTAGGGGGTGATATGACTTCTGTGATTTAATTCAAGAAACCTTTATATTTTACAATCTGATGATGTAAACTTTCAATATTTCAAACTTTGACTTTTTCATCCAGCAGAATTCTTAATTTGAAATATCAAAGGTTTCCGACATCTGTGTTGCAAAAATATAAGAATTAGAAAAATAGAACTCAGTTCCATAGTTCCAGTTAATTTCTTTCAATAACATTTTTTAGGGCAGTGATTTTGTTATAGTGAAGGTTCATTCTTGTAAAGTAATGAATATTAAGTAATACATTTGCTCCCTTTTAGTTTAGCTAGACCTGGTTTAGGAGTTATTATAACTCTAATAATCGTATCTTTATGTTTTCATGAATAAATTATCAATATTTTTGCAATATCAAAAAATAGACGTAAAAAATAAATTTATAATTAATAAATAATTTACTCTAATGTCGGTTGTTTAAAAAAGGAAAAATTACTTTTATTCATGCAGTACCTAAACTCATTTTGGGAATTCTTGTATTCTTGTATTCTTGAATACTTTTATTCTTTTATTCTTTTATTCTTTTATTCTTGTATTCTTGTATTCTTGTATTCTTGTGTTCTTGAATTCTTGTGTTCTTGTAATCTTGTATTCTTGTATTCTTGTATTCTTGTATTCTTGTAATCTTGTATTCTTGTATTCTTGTATTCTTGTATTCTTGTATTTTTGTATTCTTGTAATCTTGTAATCTTGTAATCTTGTAATCTTGTAATCTTGTAATCTTTGTATTCTTGTATTCTTGTATTCTTGTATTCTTGTATTCTTGTATTCTTGTATTCTTGTATTCTTGTAATCTTGTAATCTTGTATTCTTGTTGACGTTAACTGGTACTGCTCACTGGGCTTTGAGGGCGAAAACATAATGATGATTAAAAAAAAATAGCACATATAATTTTTTTTACTGTATCTCAAACTAATTGCACATTTTTTAAATTAGATATTTGTAAAAAAAAATTTCATTCACACTTTTATACCCCCCCTTGTTCATAAATGTGTCGTATATTAAATATTGACGAATCAATAATGGAGAAATAAATGCTTTATATACGAGAACAAAAGATACATTATTTAGTGTCACGTAATCAGATGGTTGCAAATAAATTTCTTCGGCAAAACAATTCTTTTAGGGGCGCATACTGGGGAGGGCTATGGGGGCTAAGCCGGAACCCTCCAACCCCCTTTTAGATTGTCAAAAAAGTTATGCCGCCCCTAGACAAATTTTTGCAAATTTAGTTATTTTTTATGCATACATTTTAAATTATGTATTAAGTCACGAAAATATAGATTTTCTCATGTTACATTATTATCATATAGTGATCGGCGTTTATATTAATACAATGAAGACGACCTTTCTAGTTTAATGATTTCAAATTACAAGTTTACAAGTAAAAGAAGAAAAACTGCTAATTACCATCTTCTCTTTATTTTAAGTTTATGTGTATCCATTCTGTTTAAAAGCTTGGTAGAATAAACAGTTGAACTTGAAAAGTCGTCTCCATTATATTATTATATACGACGACAACTGTAGTTTAAAAATGATAAAATTAACCTGGTCCAAGGATTGTTTTTGTTTCTGTTTTGAGTCAGTCTTTTCCAACCTAGATTATTATTATTATTATTTTTATTATTATTATTATTATTATTATTATTATTATTATTATTATTATTATTATTATTATTATTATTATTATATTAGACTTCATTCTTGCATTCTTGCTTTGAGAGAAAAAATCATATTAGATTATCTCCAAGCTTTAACGTCAAAACACGCACAAACAACTTTAAAAACTTAGTATTTTTGCACGCAAATTTTTGTTTTAGCAATATACAAATTTTAAAAGATAATTCGTTATTTTTATATTTTCTGATTAGTCCCGAAAATCGCAATTTAAAGCTCTACAACATGATTCAATATGATGTGGGAAACTCTGTATGTTAGAACAGTTACGATGGCAACATCCTTACTTGTAATCTTAACCAAATTAAGAACGAAGATGACAATTGTTTCACTTTTAATAATCACTGAATTTTCGTGCAAAATTTCACCTTGGTGTTTCATCTCTTTTAGCCTGGATTGTTGGTCCTCTCAGGACAGGTCGTCTTTAATAGTTCAATACATGATGTCGTCTTATTTTTAGACTATTTAGCTATTTTTTTTCTTTGGCAAATTATTTTTATGCTCGGATAAACAAAAATATTTATTTTCTTTTTTCTAAATAAAATAAACTGAATTAAATTTTTCACGAGAATGTACCACCAACCCTCATTCTCAATGTGTGTACCAAATCCGATTAAAACTAATTTACTTAAAGGACTGTAAGCGTAATCTTGAGTGACCCTCCGTACAAAGAGTACAATGCCCGATTTACAACGGTACCCTTGAAACCTTTGTGTATCACAGTGTGCACCACGAACTCAACACAGAGAACACTGGATATTGCAGCTGAATTCAAGCAGGTTTTGATATGTTTACACACAAATATCTCAATACTAAATGAACACACTTTAGAAGTACATTTACTGCTTCTAGTTGTAATTACATGATAAATAACGAGTTTATAAAAGGAGAGGAAGTTGAGTAGGTCTTCTCTGATTCCAGGATCCGACACTCTGATTTTGCGGATTTCATAATCCTCTTTCGGGGATTTCATCCTCTACAAAACAAAGGTACAAAGGGTACTTTTGTAAATCGGGCATTGTACTCTTGAAGAGTCCATTAAAATATTACGATTACAGTCCCTCAAATCTTTTTTTGAAATCTAAATATTTATTGTCTTTATTGTCAAATCTTGATCGTCATCCTATATTGTTGGAGAGAATTTTAAAGTTTCTTTTATTGAATGTTCCTAGGAGTAGCTGTAGAGGGTTTTGAACCCTGTTCATGTGCTCCAGGTTCCTCTGGTCTACGAGTACCTGGAGCTGGATCCATCCTGCCCTCAGCAGAACCTGGAGGTTTGTTTAGATCTACGGTTATCTGCCGAGATACAAGTGTTTGTCTACTCTAAAAGAAAATGAGTTTTTGCCACAAATTCGAATTTTCTAATTTTTATATCTTATCGATAATCTTAAAACTTGATCTTTATCTTAATACAGTGAAACCCTTAATAACGAATACATCGGAAGAATTTATCAAATGTCGTCTTGACATTTTTTCGATGAGTTTTATACTATATTACGTAAATTTCAGTTTTTGCGAAAATAAATAAATAGCCATGAATATGCGGAAACAGTTTTAAAGAGCTCCATATAATCATTTAATTAAATAACTAAATATCTGCAACATTCCATTATCAGAAAGTGAAGAATACGACATTTGATGAATTCTTTCGATGTATTCTTTATTAAGGGTTTCACTGTATCATCTTAAAACTTGATCTTTATCTTAATATCATCTTAAAACTTGATCTTTATCTTAATATCCAATGTGAGCCCTTTTGATTTGAGTAAAAATGCTTTATCAATATAGTGTAGTGCTGCTCAGATTGGGCTTAGTTTATACGTATTCCACCCAGAAACAGCCAGAAACTGCTGTTTCTGGAATATTCTTGAAGCCTTACCAATGCTACTCTGCTGATTAGGTTTACCTACAGCAGGACGGATATCCACTCTGAGCAGTATTATGGTAAGGCCGGTCAATCCGGGGGGCTGGTACTACTAGGCCAGGTATAGGCAGACCCTGAAATCAAATTTACTTTAAAAATAAGATGATTTTATGGTTTTCTCGTGGTTCCATTAAAACCAAAGTTTAAGTTTTAATTTAGTTTTTAACACTTTGAAAAGTTTTTTAGAAAGATAACAATTAAGAGCACTCAATTAGGTTGTTGGAAGAAAAAAAGATTTGATTTGAATTTTCGGATTGAAGTTTCAAAAATCAAATTTTTGAATTCAGTGTTAAAATTGAGGCCTAAAATTTTTTCACTTTAAACTGTTTTTTGACAAAGTTCAATGTTGGTTGGAACAACTTTAAAGAAAAAAGACGTAAAGTTTTTACTTCAAAAGTTGGAGAAGTGCTTCACAAAATAGTATTTGTAATAGTAGAATATTTCCCTTAAACATATATATGGGTCCTACTGTGGAAAAAGGCATTACAAGGAAAAATGTTAATGATTCAGATTCCTAAATTAATTTTTGAAATAAAATATAAAACAGAGACGAGGTTAAGGCTGCAGTACAATTCTTTCAATTACTGATTATCTTTACAACCATATTGGGATTTATACAGGGGAAACCAGTATCTTGTTTTTGTAGTTCAATCAAATTAATATCAGACAAATACATTTAAATCCTAATAACAGCCAAATTTAGAATTTACTCTATTTTTCTCAATTATATTCTTCTACCTTGGAAAATTGAGAATTAAAACATGAAGACGGTATTGTAGGAACTCCACGCGGCCAAACTGGTTTGACCAGTCTGCCTTGTACAATGCCGCAATCCGGCAATATTTTGGGTAAAGATCGGCCCTCTTGGAAATTCGGTTTCTCACGTGGACTGAGTTTCACGTCAAAATGAATAATGGTGGACGCACTGTTCAAGAGAAATATTTTTTTTTCAACTTAACATGAAATTTCATTAAAAAATCTTCACATCCGATAAATCTAAACAACAGAATTGAGTTTGTGCCACAAACTCTGCTTTTATAACACCTATATCTTTGCAACCCGATGTCTTAAACACTTGATACTTCAAGCTCTGAATTATGTTAGATCAAAAAATCTGTTTGAAATGTAAAAGGTTTAGACCGCCAAGTGGCAAAGAAATGAGGATTAGAAATTTGAGTTTGTGGCAAAAACTCAGTTCCTTTAATAGAGCCATACCATTTACACTGCTTCTAACAATATGTTTCTTCTTTAATTTTGTATGTAATTAAATGAAAACATCAAGTACCAAAAGCTATTCCTAAAAAACGAAGAAAACAATTGGAAATAAAATATTTCTCACAGTGTCATCCTCTCTGTATAAAGAGTTTGTATTGTTGTTTGACGTTCTAATTGACGGTTTTGAATTATCAGTTTGTATCACGGTTACATGGTTATCTGAGAATATTGTCAATAATTCTGTTAATTTTATCTCAACATTGTAACAAACCGATAAAACTATAACTAAAGTTTTATTCTTAATCCTATTATCCCTGTTTTCCCCATGGTATCCTTGGTATCCCTGGTATCCTTGGTATCCCTGGTATCCCTAGTATTCCTGGTATACCTGGTATTCCTACCTGGTATCCCTGGTATACCTGGTATCCCTGGAATACCTGGTATCCCTGGTATACTTGGTATCCATGGTATCACTGGTATCCCTTATATATAGTATCCCTGGTATACCTGATATCCCTGGTATCCCTGGTATCCCTGGTATCCCTGATATATAGTATCCCTGTTATACCTGGTATCCCTAGTATCCATGGTATCCCTGGTATCCCTGGTATTCCTGTTATCCCTGGTATCCCTGGTATCCCTGGTATCCCTGGTATCCCTGGTATCCCTGGTATCCTTGGTATCCCTTGTATCGCCGATATCCCTTGTATCCCTAGTATCCCTGGTATCCCTGGTATCCTTGGATCCCCGGTATCCCCGGTATCCTGGTATCCCTGGGATATCTCTGCTATCCCTGTATCCCTGGTATACCTAGTATCCCTGGTATCCGTGGTATCCCTGTTTTCCCTGGTATACCTGGTATTACTGGTATCCCTGGTATCACTGGTATCCCATGTAACCTGGTATCCCTGTATCCTGGTATCCTTGGTATCACCATGGTATCCCTTTATCCCTGTATCCATGTATCCCGGTATCCCTGTATACCGGGATCCCTGTATCCTGGTATCCCTGTATCCTGGTATCCCTGTATCCTGGTATCCCTGTATTCTGGTATCCCTGTATCCTGGTATCCCTGTATCCTGGTATCCCTGTATTCTGGTATCTCTGTATCACTGTACCCAAGTATCACTGTACCCAAGTATCACTGTACCCAAGTATCCCTGTATTCCAGTATCCTGGTATCCCAGGTATCCTTGCATCCTGGTATCCCTGCATCCTGGTATCCCTGTGTCCTGGTATCCCAGTTTCCAGGTATCCCTGTATCCTGGTATCCCTGAATCATGGTATCCCTGAATCATGGTATCCCTGTATCCCGGTATCACTGTATCCTGGTATCCCTGAATCATGGTATCCGTGTATCCCGTTTTCCCTGTATCCTGGTATCCCTGTATTCTAGTATCCCTGTATCCTGGACTCTAGTATCACTGTATCCTTGTATCCAGGTATATACAATGTATATATTCACAAGTTCTCGTCCTATTGTATTTGCTGAGTACTGAGACAGGTATTTAGATTGGATTAAGGGGAATCTAGAGTCAGGAAAATCCCCCTCCCCCCCTCCATCCCCTTTGCACAGAATTCACTCTTCCCTAGCTTAACACTTTCCCCCAATATTAAACTTGTACATTTTTCACCTAGTGTAGTTTGGGGAAAGGAAAATATATTTGGGAAAGGAAAATAAATTTGGGAAAGAAAAATATATTTGAGAAAGGAAAATAATGTTTGGGAAAGGAAAATATATTTGGGAAAGGAAATATATTTGGGAAAGGAAAATATATTTGGAAAAGGAAATATATTTGGGAAAGGAAAATATATTTGGGAAAGGAAATATATTTGGGAAAGGAAAATATATTTGGGAAAGGAAATCATATTTGGGAAAACTATGATATTTCCAATAACTTTTTTTTCGTGAAAGGGATTGCCGTTGTAATTTCATGTCTCATTTACAACACTAACCTTCAAACTTTTATTTGATCAATAATGTTGAAGATATCGTCGTTTTGATATAGCCCGAAAAGTGTTTAATTCTGATAATTTTCCACTTCTTCTATTATGAGCAAGTCACTTGAAATTNAGAGTACCTCGTAAATACGACTACATCACTTTACAATGAAGAGTACCTCGTAAATACGACTACATCACTTTACAATGAAGAGTACCTCGTAAATACGACTACATCACTTTACAATGAAGAGTACCTCGTAAATACGACTACATCACTTTACAATGAAGAGTACCTCGTAAATACGACTACAGTCCCTATTCGAACCTTTTATTTCAAGAAACTAACAGAGCGTCCCATATCATATTAGATTATTCTCAAGTCTTCAACACCAAACTGTGCAAATATTACTTGGAAAACCTGATATTTTTTTGCCAGAAAATATTTACAAAAGCTCATACATTATTAAAAAAAATATTCTTTCTTTTTTAAATTTTCTGATTAACCCTAAAATCTTAATTTAAAAAGCAATAAACGATCTAATATTATGTGGGACACCCTGTAGAAAATGTTTTCCATTGTATAGTGCAAAATATAAAATTTTAAACTTTTCATTCAACTTCAAAATTAGTGATTTTGTCCAATTCCATACTGTGCATTGCATAGTGTTCTGTAGCGTAAAGGGTGTCCCACGAAACATGACAGTTGGTGAAGAGTTTAAAATGTCTTCTTTCATAATATGTCAAGTTGTTTGTTTCCAAAGAGAATAATAATAAATATTTTATGGCATCCATATTAAAGTAAAATTGAATTCTAAGTAAAATATACTTGAGTTTTTTAAAACTAAATAAACTACCCTGTACGCTACAGTACACTGTGCATTGCATAGTGTACTGTCGCGCGCAGGGTGTCCCACGAAACATGACAGTTGGTGAATAGTTTAAAATGTCTTCTTCCATAGTAGCGTACAGGGTGTCCCACGAAACATGATAGCTGGTGAAAAGTTTAAAATGTCTTCTTCCATAATATGTTAGTTTTTTGTTACCAAAAAGAATAATAATGGATATTTTATGGCATCCATATTAAAGTAAAATTGATTTCTAAGTAAAATATAATTAAGTAAAGTTTTTTAAACTAAATAAACTACAAAAAGTCTTAAAGTCTTCAATATCTAATACAGTATATGGAAGAAGACATTCAATTACTATTCACCAACTTTAATGTTTCGTGGGACACCTTAATATCATGTTTATCAAATAAATATTTACCGGGGGAGTAAAAACACTATAAAATATTTGCAGCGTTCATGTTATCGGTGGAAAAATATTGAAATAAAATTAACTAAATAATATTTTTGGTTTATCTACATGGACACCCAAATATTAACATACCTTTACCGTAGTTTTTGCGTCAAATCTGCGTACTGTACGAACACTACGTATATTAGTGACTGGAGAATTGAGGAGAGATGCAGAGATAAGTCCACTTTTACTGAAAACAATTAAAAAATATAGTTAGATTCTAAATGATATGGATGTTTAGCAAAAGTAAGATTTTTGAGTTTTTTATATGCTCTGTTAGAGACTGTCGTCGAAAACAACTAAGAAATATATGCAATTTCTATATTTTTTCTCTTTTAAAACAAATATTTAAGATTATAAAAATACTGAATTTAATGAATTTGAGCCGCGTCTCAAATCCGTCAAAACCGGTTGACTTAAATCTTGAAACATTAAACACAATTTCAAATGAAATCAATCATATTTGAGCCGTGTCTCATAATTAAGCCGCTGCTTAAATTCTTTAAATTCGGCCTTGGATGCATGTTTAGCAAACATTGGTTGTATGACCCCGTTAAAGGGACTGTGGGCGGAATTTCAAGTGAACCTCCGTTAACAGAGTTACATCATGTCCTGTTCACAATATTAATCTTTAAAAACATAGTTCTTGAAAAAGTAAAAGTTCTGTCAATTTTCTTCCTTGAAACCAGAATTGACAACTATCAATGTTCAGATTGAAAAGCAAGGAGATCTCCATACTTTTGGTGAGACAAGGAACCCCTATCAATGGAAGGTCACATGAAATATTAATTCTAAAATCTGTTTAACTATCGGAGGATACAAACTATCCAACACTTTCAAATTTCAAATTTTGTCAAGTCGGGTGAGAACCAGACAACTGTAGAATAGAAAGAAGACTTTTAAATCCAATTGATGACCTTAAAATGTGCAATGTACTTGTACATTGTACACTGCAATTGTGCAGAGTACAAGTGTACATGTTCATAGACCAATTTCAATTGACTATTGACCTTTTTGCTTTGTAACCACATAAATACACTTTAATATTGCTTAATTGTCAATCTATTCCACAGTTTAATGGCTCTCACTGTGTACAAAGCTATATTTAAACTTCTCGAGACTGAAGGAATTTTAGTTTTGATGATCCTAGAATTAATCTCAAGCGCTAAAGTTAAGATACAAGTTTCGTGATTTGGCCTTCAAAAAGTTGGACTTGAAATAAAAAAAATCAGTTTTCATTTCTAATATTTACAGCACGGTTATCATGTACAAAATAATGACATCACCCATCTGTATAATCTGTGTCAGGGGATGATTATTTACCTGAACATTTTAGTCTAAAACAGATAATCCATTATGTTACAACTGCAGGCCAAAAAAATAGTACTTTTTAAAACTTTATATAAAAAAATGATTATGGGGACTTTTCTAACTTAAAGATTTAGTGATGAACACTTTCTATATGGCTGAAATCAAAGCACTGCTTTAAGGAAGGGAATTCAGTCTTTGACACAATCTCAACTTTTCTAATCCCCATATCTTTGCAACCTGATGATTTAAACCTTTGGATTATTTGATCTAACAGAATTATTGTTTAAAACTATTTACAACACAGGGTTGTAAAGATAAAGGGATTAGAAAATCTGAGTTTGTGGCAAAACTCAATTAATTCCTTTAGCATGAACTGAGCAGCGAGCATGTATAATAAACTACACAATTTACCAAGCACTATCTACACAGGATAAAATTTAGGAGGGGGGGGGGAGCAATACATTGCAAGTACTTCTTTATCTCTTCTTCTATATAAACAATTATTTTTTCTGTATTATTATTTCAATCCGATCGTGAGAAAACTGATCGATTGAAGCTTTTTCCGACCTAAATTATATTGGATCTTGAAATAGGTTAAGTTAAGTTGGATTGCATGGGGTTTGCCGTAGTTAATGGTATAGGTCGATTTAAATCAAAGTGAACACAACTCGATAATTAAGTCGTATCTTACTAGTCAGTTTCCTCTATAGGTTAGTTTCCATGGCATGGATCGTTAATAAATATAGTATGCATAGCTAACCATGAGAATTAAAAACTACCAAGAATAAGATTAAATGCGCTTTTTTATTGTTATATTTGTTGGGACGCAATGTTCACAGTCTAAGAACATCTTACAAACTTTTAACATTTGATCAGATAGCGAAAACTAATCAGAAATTATTAAAATAACGATATTTAAATAGTGGAGGCGTAAACAAATTTAGAAACTTAGAGCGATCATCCTGATAGTATTAAATAAACTAACAAACTAACTTGGTAATAGTAAAGGGGTTAATATTAATATTTTGGGGAAACATAGTTTCTTTTATTTTGATTATTAAATCTTAAAAAAGATTTTTAAAAATAAATAAAAGTTTTAAATGACTTTTAAAAACGTGAGGAATAGTAATCCCTGTTCTGTAATAAAGAAAATTACAGGTCATATTCCTTCAATTTATCAAAAAGTGTTGAATACTCAGATAGCGGAAAATGATCAAGCAGAAATTATATTATATCATCATCTTCAATCAATTATTTTAACATTTAGACGTAGCTGGCCAAATTTTCTACACTGTTCCCAATTTCTTAATAATAACTAAATTATCATTATATATGTATTATTAATATTCAAATTAGTATTTTTGTATTATTATAATGGTTGTTAATATTTAGATTTTTTTTTATTTTCATCAAAATATTTAAAGCGTAATTTTTATTATGATTCATATTTTTAATAATTATATTATCTTTCTTATTAACATTACTGTTATTAATATTTGGAGCTATTTCTATTATTATTATCATGATTATCATTATTTGAACTATCATTATTATTATTATTCTATTCCTACTATTCTTATTATCATATTTGTCTAAATATTTTTATCATTTATCATTATCATTATTTATTTATATTACATCATCATTATTTCAAAACATTTTTCACCTATAAATATTAAAGGGACAGTAAAGAAAAAATGAAAGGGGGTATAGGCTGAAAGCTAATCACTTTAGCTCTTGATCGCGACCCATGAAAGTTTTATCTGATGTTCCTGTCTCGAGAAATTGATATAAAACTGTGTCAAATATATACGAAAATTAATATATATACAATTTTGTATAAAAGTAGTAGGTTTAAATAGATCAAATTCAGCAAATAAGAAACCAATCTGAAAACGATGATATCCCAGAGAAAGCTAATTGTAAATTAGGTTTACTTTTATATTTGTTATTTCTATTTTTAATAGATTTAATTCATAATATTATTTTTACGTCCGTATTACTTGACCAGAAATTCCACCAATGGCAGTGCAGTAAAGTGGTCACGTGATACAGGCGGAGACACGTGACCAGTATACTGCTCTGCCATTGGTGATATTTCTGGTCACGTGATTTCAGTTTAAGATTTTCTAAATTTTACGTATATATGAATTTTCGTATAATTTTAACACAGTTTTATATCAGTTTCTCGAGACAGGAACATCAGATATAACTTTCATGGGTCGCGATCAAGAGCTAAAGTGATTAGCTTTCAGCCTATACCCCCTTTCATTTTTCCTTTACTGTCCCTTTAAGTAGGACAAAAAAGTTAGATTAGCGTGTTTGTAATCATATGCTGTGATGGGCTTTCAAGAAACTTAATCTGAAAAATCTAATAAGGTTCTCAAAGGAATTTCGTCTTTGCCAAAAACTCAAATTTTCTTATCCCTATATCTTAGCAATCTGATGGCGTGAAGCTTTTGATATTTCGAACTGAAGAAAAGATCATTAAATATAACAGTATTAATAGATATATAAGGTCTACTACATTGGGTTGCAAAGATGTTGGGATTAAAGTATCAGTTTAAGGCAAAATCAACTTCTTTTAATGCTGCAAAATCCTCGAATGTTAAAAACCATCAAATACGCGTACCCAATTGTAACGAGCCCCATCATTTCTTCGTCAGAGCCACATTTTCTTATCAGAGCCACCTCCGAATGCACAATATTATCTTTTGTGTATAGTTCTTAATTTTAATCACCCTTTTATAAAAAGCTGGCTACATTAAAGCACAAATGAAATGTTAATTTTAGTAAATCGAGATAAAATGTTTCAATTAATATTTGTGTTACCTTCAAGCATTCCCGTAACACTAGCCAGATAATACAGAGGACTAATAATCTAATAATATAGAGGACTAATAATCTAATAATATAGAGGACTAATAATCTAATAATATAGAGGACTAATAATCTAATAATACAGAGGACTAATAATCTAATAATATAGAGGACTAATAATCTAATAATACAGAGGACTAATAATCTAATAATATAGAGGACTAATAATCTAATAGTCTTCAGAAGACTACTACTCAGGACTTCAGAGTAATACAGAACATTACATACCGAGATAAATACATGTTAGGTTTAAAGTTTATTTATCAGTCTCTGGATCTGATCTTCAATAATAACAATCTAAGGTACAACTATAATAGTTTCATCCGTAGATGTAAATACAGTTGTATGAGACGGATTAATACATGCCAGCACACAGCCATAAACTAAATTCAGACCAAAATCACAAAATAAAAATATCCGTCTCATACAATAACAAGGATTAAACAAATCCAATCTGGAATGAGAATTTGGAGTTCAGGACGAGTTTGCTTCCGATAGTGATGTCCTTTAATAGATTAACACATTTATAAACTAATAAAGTATGTTTGTTGACTGTATTAATTATGTATTTTAATCATACCCCCCTCCTCCGTAGAAGTACACATTTAATAATACCACCAAAACTTAAGATTCTCAACATTTTGAATAATAAATGCAGTTTTATTCAGGGGAATACATTTTCCAGATTTTGGAAGATTTTAAAAAAGGAGAAAAAGTTCAACTTGCAAGCTTTTTACCTTTTAAATAGGAATAATTTTTGCAGAAAATAATATCCTCTTCCTCCATCCCCTGAGTTTAAATTAAGCCAGGATCAATGATTCCGCCCGCCCTTCCAATTGAAATGTTAACAAGAAAAATCCCAAGGCACATTGAGGAGACAGCTCTAAAAGCATAGGGAAATGTTAAAGTTTCTAATCTCGGCTTAGGTTTGCATGAAGGTTCTCACTGGATCAAAGGAAGTAAACTCATCATTTCTTAATCTGATGAGATTGGGGGGATACACGCAACATCTGTTGATAGTTAGGATGCATATTATGGTGTCCTGGGGGTGGGGGATGATGAACAGGGCGGGTTGGGTTTGACCGATGAACCGAATGAGCAGGTAAAGGACCAGATTGTAACGGAATGATTCCTTTCGGAGGAGCCGGAGGGGAAACCATCTGGTAGGAGGTCGGAGGATAGTGGGATATGAGATCTGAATGTCGGGAGTGGGATAAACTGGTATTATGAGGATAATGAGCAGGTTTAGGAACCCCGGAGGGAGAGTGCTGTCGATGCTGGGAGTTGGTTGCGTGCGCAACGGCTAGGAGTTGGGATTGACCGCGGTAAAGTGAATCAAGTCCGTTTTCTAGAGGAGATTGAGGAGGAAGACGAGGGGATCGATCCCGTTCACGGGGTGAAGGTTGTGCGACTCTATCATGAGGAGAAGGTGCAGGAGGTGTCGGTCTCTCACGAGGACTTGGAAGAGATTTTTCTCCTCCCGGAGAGATGTGAACCCGACTACTCGGAGATACAAGACGTTTATCCGTGACACTGGTCGGACCGTTCTGTACCGGGGTATCCCGCCTGCTATCTCCAGGTTGGGACGCCAGGTTGAGTGAGTTGAGGGCAAGGAGTCGGGATCTCACCGCTAACAGATGATCTCTCCTAGAAAGAAGACGATCAACACTATCCTCTAGACCTACGTTCTCTTCCTTGAGTTGATGAAGGGAGGAGAGTAAGGATGCTATATCGAAGTGACTAGCCTGCTCCATGAGGAACCTGCTCCCCTGCTCCCAGTGCCTCTCCAGTAGCTCCTCCATGGTTTGGGGCTGGCGCGCCGGGTCCAGCATACCGGCCACAGTGTGCGGGGCAGAGCGGGATACTTCACGTTTATGTCCAGGTAGAGGAACTCCGGTCAACTGAACCTGGTCGGAGTTGTAAACAGAGTGTGCAGCTACCTCACTCTGCAAAAAAAAAAAAAAATTAAAATCAAATTAAAATGAAAATCAAATCTTCGGCCTGAAGTTCAGCCTCGGCGTCTCTTATTTTTGTTAACTCCATTAATTTGTTTGAGGCCATCACATTATCAATCTTTTTTTGTGGCATTTTCTTTAATTCATAATATTGCTTAATCTAAAACGTTTATTAATATTATTTGTCGTGTGAAGAAGAATGGAAATTTTCTATACTATACAAAAAATATTTTTTTGAAATCACAGTTTATCTATTTAATTTATAAGTGGGAGAAAATCCCATTAAATCATTATTAAATCATAACTCATAATAATAAAATATCAAATGAATTAATTTAATCTTAAAAATTAATAAACAAAAAACTTCTTTAATGGTAGCATTAAAAAATATTAAATCGTTTCGCTTTCGAGTATTTATTTACTTCTTCTTTTTAATGAAACTTGTTGATTCAAAGTAGGATTATTATTTTTCAGTCTGGTTAACGTTATAAAACTAATTTCTTTAAAACTATTGAATTGTTTCTTTTTGTAAGAAAAAAACATTAATCAAGTGTGGTAATAATTTTTTAAGTGAAGTTTTTGTAGAGAAAATTATTTTTAGACATGCACCCAAGGAACTGCCTGTTAACTCCCAACTGCTAGAATACACAAACTGTGTCTTATTTTTTGCTTATATCTGTTATATTATAGGACAAACTCCTGATGATGCCAAAGTTTTTGGCGAAATATATTGAGAAGAAAATGATATAATTCTAGTGCTAGAGAGTAGGGTTGGGATTTGTTTAAAAACGATCTAATGTCTTATTTTTGTGAACAAAAAAAATCTTTTGATTATTAACCTTTTGACTTTGTATGATTTGGAGACCTAATTTTACAAAATAAAACTCATGAGAACTTATCTTTACTTTATTTTTTTTATTCTAAATTTTTAAATTCGATTAACAGGAAATCTTTTAAGATAAAATATTATAAAAAACATATTATTGAACAGCTTTTGATTAAAGATCTAATTTGAACTAATTTGAAATGAAATCTGAAAAAGAGGACCCGTTATGAACCGAACCCCCAGATCTAGTATATCTATTGGGATTTATTTTGTGGATTGGCACTATACCTGTAAAACTGAAGTCATTTCTTTGGCCATTCCTGAGGCAGGGTTCAAGGTTGCTCCGAACATCATGAGTCTGTGCATATCTTTAGGTTCAGGTTTCTCTTCCGACTTATTATCCTCGGTTTTCAGTCTCTTCACGCTGGAAGCATCGAGATTATCTTCCACTGTTAGCCAAGCCAGTGTGTTCGAAGCGATGTGAGTACCCTTTTTCGGCGGCCGACCCGGACGTTTCAGTCCATTAGCCGATCTGGGACTGACTGCCGAGTTTGGCTGGTTAGGAGATTCTAACGGCGTCAGATCAGGTACCTTGTCCGTAGAGTTTATAGGGGAGATTGTGACGGGTTGGTTGACAGGGATAATACTAGTTTTACCGGAGCTTAATAGTTCGTTTTTGCTCAGGGTGGCAGAGGAGGAGGAGGAGATAGTGGAGGGAATTGCGGGGGTTATTGAGACACTATTCAAGGAAACTTGCTCCGTGATAGGTTTATGACTGGAAGTACTGTTGGTGGGGAAAAGACTGACACTACTGCTAAGACTACTTCTTGAATAAAGACTGGATGAACTGGGTTTCACTGGGTTACCACTGTCAAACATATAGGTTGAACTTAATAGGTCTTTATGGTTAGTTTTAGACTGAGGTACACTTTCACTTAAGGAGTTTGCGGTATCTGGGTAGGGTTTACTACTAGGAACAGTCTCCAACACGACCCCGGAGTCTTTACTCGAGGTTCGACTTTTACCCGTGGAATTTGTCGAGCTTATACTGCTAGTTAGAGACACAGTGCTGTCTACATCCATAGCCTCGACCTTTATAGACGAAAAGTCCAAATTTATTTTGCGAGGAGGCGACTGCTCCTTATCAGACTTAATAAGGGCCGCGGTTACGCTGACGCTCTGCGTCACGTAGCTCTCGACAAAGTTAGCGTTGGTGAAACCTTTCTTTTCTCCTTGATCATCCTTGGTTTCACCAACACTTCGTTTATCTATCTCCATGGAATCAGGTTTAGAATGACTATTAGGTACTTTCTCTACACTTGAGTCGGCAGGGGGATCTTTCTCCTTGGGAATATCCTTTTCTATCTCCTCCTTCTTTGCATGATAGGTTTCTCCGTGTTTACCAATTTTAACAACAACATTTGGCGTCTTTTTGTCCTCTTTGGACTTATGATCACTGTTAAAAAAGCGTTCCGTTTTCGAGGAATCATTGTTTGTGGCAGAAAAACTTTTTTCACTTGTTGTACTGGAAAAACTTGAGACTGGAGTCAGGGTAACAGAAGACCCGGAGGGAACTATCCCATTGTTTCCCGAGTTGAGACTTGCAAGATCTGGGTTGAATTTTGGCGGTTCTAGTTTGGCATCGTAGAGCATTGAGCCGGGTTTCCGTCCTCGCTTCCCCTTGTTCTTAGAGGACGACGAGGATGAGGAGGAGGAGGACGAGGATTGAAGATGTTTGGAGGAATCCTTTGCAACATGGTTGGGTGGAGAGGGTTTCTCCGGACTTGAGGTTGGAGAGAGCTCCTGGCTAGGAACCGGCCGAAAAGCCGGAATTGTTTTTACAATTTTTTTGTTTATTCGTTGGTAATGATATTCACAATATCCACAGTATTTAACATTGTCCATGTAGTTCCCGGCCTGAAACAAGGGAAAAAAGTTTAATCGTATTCAAATATATTTTTGGGAGGCATAACCCAACAACCAGTGCTTAGGATCATATCTGGATCCTTAACATTGCTCCTAAGATCCGGATCCAAATGACAAAAGGTAAAAGAATTTTTTAAAAAAACAGCCCAAAAAGTTGCAAAAAATATTTCAGTCAGATTGGCATCGCATCCGCGCCATTTATAGGGTGGATCTAGGCTTTGGATCATTCACTGAACTGATCAAGATGGAATTAATCCTTTGTCAGCATGAAGCGCAAGGGAAATGTATTTCAGAAATCTAAACCTCCCCTTTTCCTTAAAAATGAGTATTAATCTTCAATATGTTCAGAAGTTTAGAAGGCATTATTACTAAATTTTAAATAAGTTTGGACTCCAAATTATCGAAAATTATTTCTTGACAATATTAACCCCTGAATAGTTTACCTCTTCACACAGCAGTCCATGAGCCTGGGCACAGGTGACATGAAACGCTTCTTTACACCCGCTTTTATTGCACTGCATGCAGGCCCCAGAGGAGGCCTTAGACTCCTTCCCACTCTGCTCACACAGGTAGCACAACTACACAAACATAGAGGGGTGAAACATAGATAAGAGTTAGTTAAAGGGACTGTTCAAGTAATTTCAAGTGACGTTTTAATTAAAGAGAGCGTGCCCTACTCACAACAGTACTGTTTTAACATGTGTGTGGGAAAATACGATGAAAATATCCTCGTTTTTTAATCTTGAAGATGATTGTGGTTAAATATAAAAGCAACTTGTTGGTGATAAAAAACTTAATTTACAAAGTTCAACGCTTTTTACAAGATAAAATAACGACGATATCTTTCACAATGCTTTGATTTTTAATAAATGGTACCATTATTATTTGGGCAAACCTCTCTTTAAATTAAACGCCACTAGAAATAACTTCTACAATAAATACAAAGGAAAGATGAGAAAAGGAAAACTAAGCATTGTAAAACTCTGTATTAGAGAAGTTACAGCTTACAGATGAATAACAATTGACCCATTTCTATTTTTTTTTATTATTAATAAAAGTTTATTGTATTTACTTCTTGACCCATTTATATTTTTTTTTATGATTAATCAAAGTTTTATTGTATTTACTTCTTGACCCATTTCTATTTTTTTATGATTAATCAAAGTTTTATTGTATTTACTTCTTGACCCATTTCTATTTCTTTTATGGTTAATCAAAGTTTATTGTATTGACCCATTTCTATTTTTATCATTATTTATTAAAGTTAATTGTATTTACTTTTAGACCCCTTTCTATTTTTTTTATTTCTATTAAAGTTAATTGTATTTACTTCTAGACCCCTTTCTATTTTTTTTATTATTTATTAAAGTTAATATTTACTTCTAGACCCCTTTCTATTTTTTTATTATATATTAAAGTTAATTGTATTTACTTCTTGACCCCTTTCTATTTTTTTTTAAAATATTAATAAAAGTTAATTGTATTTACTTCTTGACCCCTTTCTATTATTTTTTTATTATTTATTAAATTTAATTGTATTTACTTCTTGACCCCTTTCTATTTTTATTTATTATTTATTAAATTTAATTGTATTTACTTCTTGACCCCTTCTATTATTTTTTTTAAAAAATATTTATAAAAGTTAATTGTAACTACTTCTTGACCCCTTAATACTATTTTCACTTATTATTTATAAAAATTATTGACCCCTTTGTATTCTTTATTATTTATAGAAGTTACTTTATTTCTATTAATTTTACATATTCTTACTTTGTTAAAGCGCTCTGCAGGTACAAGAGAGAGAATGATGGGTTCCATGGTTGCAACATTTCCAAACCTAACCTCAGGGATGTACAGGGCGCACACCACGTGTGCCCAGTTGTTGGTGTCGGTGCGTTTGAGCGCTCCATCCTTGCTGGGACAGAGCTCACACTTGACACGCGCCGCGCGTTCCTGAGATTCACATTTTCGACAAAACCAGGGACCGATAGGAACAGTTACAATTCCGTAACAAGCTAAAACATGAATAATTATAAATAAAGGTTTACTAAATATTCAAATATAACAAAACTAATCAGGCAGTGCCATAACATTTATTTCATGGGGAGGGGGGTCTACATCTCATAACAGGGGGAGGGCAAAACCCTCATACTTATAAAAACAATTTTTTCACTTAAAGTTTGTCCAATTGGAGGGGGAGCAAGTCCACATTATTTGTATTTATGTTTACAGGGTTTAATCAAAGGGTTGGCCAGGAACTTGCCAGCTGATGACTAATTTTTGTCGTTCATTTTGGAATATGGGGGGGGTAAAATATTTTTTAAAAAAAATACCCCTGAACAGTGCTCATACACTCAGTTTCAGAATGAATTGCTGAAAGTAAATATATTGTCTCTCAGGAACAACATAAAAATTCAATGAAGAGGAAATTTCATGGACAAGAAAATTATTTATACTTTCGTGAGTAGTGATTATAAAAATTATTTATACATTCGTGAGTAGTGATTCTGAAATTTTTTATACATTCGTGAGTAGTGATTCTGAAAATTATTTATACGTTCGTGAGTAGAGATTGTGAAAATTTTTTATACGATCGTGATTAGAGATTATGAAAATTGTGCACAGGAGAAATAACACATTTACAGTATATGTTAAACTGGACCAGAAGATTGTAAATAATGCCAGAAATAACTCAGAAATTGGATAATTTCCTAGAGAGCGATTTTGTACATGGATCTTAAACGTAAGAGGATCATAAATGTAAGACATGTGGCCGCAGCGCTCGGCCATCTAGCCTGTCCTAGCCGCAGCGCTGCTCGGCCCAGAGGGTGTCTTAACTTAACCTAACCCGTGACCGCAGCGTAGAAACCGATTCACAGATATTAATGAAAAATGAATATATCCTTGAAACTGTATTGAATTAATTGGTAGAACTGGATGAATTCTACAGATAAAGAACAATTTAAATCAACTCGGAATCAAAAAATTGATAAAAATAAAAATTTAGAATTCGATATTTGTTAGGAATTATCACAAGGCACATAAACGCAAACATTACAAAAACTAAATAATTTAATATAAATTCGAAAATTTCTAAGATTACGGTCATGAAACTTAAATGTATGGGTAATCCAAACAATTTAGAAAAATAAATAAACAATTTTATAAAATGAAATTGAAAAAAAAACTAATTTTCTTGTCGCACATTAGTAGCATTCTAAGTATACAAAACTAAGCTTAAAATTAGAAAGATGAAAAGAATCACGTCTCCATCAGTCTCAGGGTATACCTTGATGCACCGCTACGTTGCACCCCTGACCGTCACAGTAAACCAACGGATTCTCATTCCATCCCTGCTCGTCAGAACATACGCAGCAACCACCTACCATCTCAACCATATCTCAACATACATTTATACAACACTTATTTCTCGCGTCGGCAGAAAAAAAAAACAAAGTCTGTATCGGGTGGGTCGCCTATACTGTAAACATAATGGCGTCTCAAGTGATGCCGCAACACCGCTTCAGGCGCATATAAACTTTTGGAAACTGGGAACACACTAAACGACATTATTTTTTCTTATATCTTATTATAAAAAGTTATACCTTCACGGAAAATTATATTTTATGTTCCAGACCTTTTAAAATTAAAAATTTAAACTAAATTACAGGATTTTGATATTTTTACAAATTTTGTAACTTTGTATATATTAATTCCACGTCCCAAAAATAATTTCTATAGAAATTTTTTTTGTAAGTTCCAAAGTTTGGTAATCATTTTTTAAAGTATGTTGTGATCGTTGAAAGATTTTTTTCTGTAATTCACTTGAATAATTTCTTTTAAAAGAAAATTACTTTTTGGGTGCGTACCCACAATTTCATTAATGACGTCATATCTGTTCCTTGATATGGAAAATGGCGGAGTAGCTGGGAAAGTTGATACTAAACACATCTGTCAAAACTTCTTCAAATCCTATTAAAACAGTTTAAATTTGTCAATTTTTCAGATATAGAAATGATTAGGTCCAAAGAAGAGAATCTGCACTCAAAGTGAATAAATAAAACGAATGGGGTGAATTTTGCAAATGCTACAAGTTGACAAATAAACTCTAGAAGCAACATGTTTTTATTTCGATGTATATGATGTAACCTCAACAAGATCATGCCACCCCCTCCCCCACCTCCGGGAGCTCCTCCCCCTCCCTCCTTCTCTCTTGGCTCCGTCAAACCTGCCGGAGAAAGGAAGGATTTATTGAAAGATATTCAGGCTGGCGCTAAACTGAGAAAGACTACCACCAATGATAGAAGCGCACCTATTGTATCCACAGGGAAAGCCTCAACTCCTGCACCGTCCGGCGGAGGCGGCGGAGGAAGAGCGGAGAATAATTCTAGTCAGAATGTTGGACCTTTGCCCGGTATTGGCGGACTGTTTGCAGGCGGAATCCCAACTCTTAAGAAAACTAAGGGCGGAGTCTCTACTGGGCGGAGTAACAATGGTATAATATTATGAAAAAAATATAAACAAACTTTACAACATTCTTCATGGCCCCCCCCCCTCTAGGATGGACCCTCATTTTGTACATGACTTCAATTTTTAAAGTGTTTTTTTTTACATATAAAAATTATCAAAATTAGCGTTACTGATAACTTTACTAAATTTAAACAACTAGAATTTTGTTCCAAGTTTTATTTTGTAGTTCTCACAGGGTATATAAAATAGGTTTAAGTGTTTAATTAATAAATGATGGATTGACTACTGAAAAGTGTATTTTGATCTAAGTATTTACCATACATTTATAAAACTTGCTTTTGATTAAGCTTATCTTAGACAGTACCATACAGTACAGTTTTGCGTATTTTTAAATATTTCTATGTACCTAGAATATGCTCAAGAAAAGTCCGGTTGTGTGAGAAATTCAATAATCTGATAGATTGACAACTGCCTAGTTTATTTTTGTTGAAATTAAAATTATTCCAATATGTTTTTAAAGAATTGTTTTTGTTTATTTTTTATCTCAGAAAGTACCTGACAGTACAATTGTTTTGGGGCTGGGGGAACATCTTTAAAAAAAGCTATTGGTCTCTTAGAGATTTTTTACTTTTGCTGTTTTAGATTTTGCTCCTTTAAACCGGGATCCGACCCCTGGGAACGGGTCCTTGTATAAAAACTCGTATAATTCTACTTCTTCTAGTCTGGTAAGGGATTTTAATTATTTTTATTAAAACTAACAATACTCTCATGAGTTATTCATAACTTAAGAATTGCTTATAGTTTATTTAGAGAACGCAGTCTGTGTAAACAATATATTCCAAGAAAATATATTTTAAAGTCAGATCATATTACGTTCTATTAAATATCTTAAATATGTTATCTTTTAGGTTTATAAGTCATTCTAATTTAATTATTACAATTTCTTACTATCTATTCTTTTTGCCACAAATGTTTGTCAAATTTCTAAAGCATTTCCCTGTTTAATTATCTTTTTTAAAAGTAATAATTTTAATTTGTTCTTGAAACATAATTGAATCGGCGTTTAAGTTCAATGTACTAAAAGTTAACCGTCATGTACTGAAATAATCTGTAATTTACAGAAATTTGCTTTTATGTACAGAAATCATCTTTCTTGTACAAAAATTTACTTTCTTATACAGAAATAAACTGTCATGTACAGAAATTAACTTTCGTGTACAGAAAATAAGTTCATGTGCAAAGATTAATAATTATTGTCTATTTCAATGAGTTCTAACTTCTAAAAGAAATTTAGATTAAACTATTGATTCTGAGTCATGTTAACAATTGTTCTGGAAAGCCCCCTCCCCCTCCTACACACATCCACTCAGCTTTACACACAATTAACAATGCTCGTATCTTCACAATGGATAAGATTCAATATTCATAATTACCCGATTATATAATCTTCGAAGAAATCAAACATGTTTAAACTATTTTCTTTGAGGAGAAATAATACATTTTTCCCCTTTCAAGCTTTCCGAAAGATATAGACTTGGAGGAAGCAGTTACCTACATTTTATGAGGGTAAATATCCCCCCCCCTTACTACCACCCTGCATGATTTTTTAGAATCACTCTTAGTTTTTAAAGACGTCACGCTAAAGCATTTTTATCACCACGGCTTTATTTTATTCTAATCAAAAGAGGTTTTAGATTTAGCCATTTTATGAAGTGTATGGTGTATTAAATGTACAGGACATATCCAAGAAAAGCTGTGACCGAACTCGGGGTGGGGGGTCTCTACACTCCTACTACTTCGGAGAAACCCCAGATATAATTTCACCCGAACCCACTTTATGTTCCATACCAACAAGCAGACCAGGGCGTAATAATGGAACTCCTTCGAATGGAACTCCTACTTATGGAATCCGACGGAACGGCGAGCTCAATGGAATAAATGGAAACAATCAAAATTATTCAATTCAAAAAACAACTTCTACGGATTCCATGCTGCAGAAGGCCCCGGTTCCCCCTAAACCTGGAAAACTATCCAAGACAAAATCCTCGACCTTTATATCTCCTGAGCAGTCGGAGAAGATTATGTACAATACTAGAGTTACCCTCACACTTAGGAGATCAAGACAAAATTTAAACGAAGACGACGGTGATCCAGTTTACAGTAGAACACCGGTCAGAGAAAACTACTTTTTCGGAGAAAACGGCGGCGAAGATACCCGAATGACCCCAAGTTGTGTGCCGAATGGTCGAGTAAGAAAGCGTGCTGAGGAGCTACGATCTGCCTGCCCGACCCCGCCTCCCCTGGCGGTTAAACCATCTCTTCAACACACTGTACGTTCAAGTCTACTCTATATCCCTAAACTAATCCTCCCTCCCTGCACTAACCCCTGGATCCGGGACTACTAATCCGCCTGGAGTAGAGTTAGTTTAACGTATATTGGAAAGTTCAGGGTTTAGGATTCAATGTCGAGCTAGGAGGCTGAGGGATAACACATTCGCCAACCAAATAAATCCGGGGGTGAAAGACCAATCAGTATTTAGTATTTCTTTAAATAATTTATTCTTTTTTAACCTATTACTTGAATGTCCAGTATATAACTTAGTTTTAAACCCCCTGGTTTCCAACACGAAACCATGAATAATAAATAATTTCCTCCTCCAGTCTTTAAATGCCAATGTCAGCAGTCTGATATCTTCTTCCGGAGCTAGCAAGGCTACTGTTTATCCATGTACCTGGAGAAATCATGTTCTATGTTCATAATCCTAGAATTATGAAGGATTCAGGCGGAGTGAAACAGTCAAATTCTTTGAACTATGATCCTAAAAGTGGAGAGATTATCGCTAGGGAATAACGTGCCGGTTTCAATAACAATGTGGTTTAAAAATCATTCTTCTGAGAGAGTTGTAAAGAGTGTAAGAATAAAGGAGTCAGCTTTTGTACCGGAGCTAAGTAGTGAGAAATGAATAATGAGAAAGACCATTTTTTTGTGACATTAAGATATTAAAGAGTAGCAATTCAAGATGAAAATAATTTTTTTTTAAATTAAAAAAAATATTGATAAAATCTTTTACAAGATCAATATGGACTCCATTAGATAACATTAATCTTACTAGGTTCTTATCAAAATCATAAAATATGTCCTAATGCAGCATAATATTGAAATTATATGAAAAAAGTCTTCTCTGGAGAGTTAACTGTATTTTTATAGTTATTAAATAATCCTAGGGAAAAGTGTAAAAAATAGTCTGCTGGCATGTTGTTTCGTTAGAAATGGCTATATACAGCGGTTTAGTTACAATTGTACACAGTTTGGACAGAAAGGGTTGGATCGTGTTAGCACCAAGTACTCCTCTAGTCCTCGAACCAACAGCCTGTTATCATCCTCGATACCATCCTCTGTAAATATGTCCTCGCTACTAAATTAACCCTGAATCACACTAATTTGGGTTGTTTACATATGTTTGTCGTCCATGTTGCTTGTTCTAACTTTTTTGTTTTCTTTTATTATGATTGTTGTTTGCTTTGGTTAATGACACTTTTTTATCTAACTCCGAATCTATCAATATAAATGTTTTTCTTCATAGTTGATCGTTTCCCAGCATGGTTAATAATAATGTTGCAACCCTCCGTTTATAAATTCTTACAGATTGCAGTCTCCCATTTACATTTGTATAATGATGTAAACTCTGTTACTCCTCTTTATCTAAAATATTGTTTTTCACAAATTTTTATTCTGCTTTCTGATTAACCAGTATTTTATAGATGCATGATGCTAATTATTATTAAAAACAAAATCAAATTATTATAACTTATTTTTTGCATATTGACGAATTAGTTTTTTTTATAAAACCTAATTTTATCTTATTGTAGAACTCTTCTCCTAGCCTTTCTCCAAGTCCTAGTCCGGTTGGATCAACACCTACAAGAGGTCCACCCTTCCCCTCCTCAGCCCCGCCCCTGGCCGCCTCCGCCCCCCTCCAATCCTAAACCTTCAGTGCCAAACACCAAACCAAACCTAACTCCTCGTGGACCTTCAGGTTCTCCTGGTTTAGTTCATCCCTCGTCTAAACCTCCTCCTCCTCCTCCATCTAAACCTGGTGTCTCCTCCTCGAATCTAAACCTGGCCAGAAATCAAACAGTTTCTAAAAGTTTTAATCAAACCATAGGACATGGTCCTCAGGGTAGACCTGTTCTACATAATCTAGGAGAAAGAACAACAAAGGTAAATATTCAAGGCAAAAAAATTCCAAAAAAGTTAAACGAAAAAATATTTTTATCCTAACTTTTCCCTAATTATGTGTTCTTGGAATTAAATAGATCAAACCAAAAGTTTGTAGAAAAAAATAATTTCGTATTCTACAAATTTAAATAAAAGCGACCCAGTGACGGGTGCCCGTTCTCTGCGTGAAATGTATTACTATTTTTGCAAAATATTTGACTATTAAAAATATTTTATTAGTTTGTTCCTTGTGGAAATTGCTTGACCACTTCATTGAAAAATAATTTATTCAGTTGAAGTTCAAATATGCAATACATCGTTCTTTCTCTTCTCTTCTTACAGCCTCAAAATATACCTTTGTTAAAGAGAAAATCGGCAAAAAATATCGATTATAAATAAATTTTTTTTCTGTAGTAGATATTTCTTTTTCTTTTTAAATATGTATATCTAAGTCTTTTTGCGGATTTTTTTATAACTGTGAAAAAAATTAGTCTGTTGATTTTTATCAACCACCTGTTACTCTATTAACAGGGTTATTAAAACAATATTTAAAATCTTGTAAAATCTGGATATTAGAATCAGAACATTATTTATTATAATTATCAAAACACATCTTGATGGTTTCGTAATGGATCTTATTGGTTTAGATTAATACCAGAATACAAAAAAGTATTAAAATTTTGAGAATCTTACTTATTAGAAATGATACATATATCAGAAACGAAGTTGAGAAGTTATATAAAATCTTAACTACCAGTATCAGAAAAAGTATTTAATATTTAAAAAACTGAACTGTTCAGGATAAAACAAATATCAGAGTATTTAATATTTAAAAAATCTGAACTGTTTAGGATGATACAAGTATCAGAAATGGACACGCCCCTCCTCCTCCGCTACGCACAGTAAGCCAAGCACAAATAACTACGAACAAACTACCAACCCGTGCCCCGCCTCCTCCGCCCCCGGGACATAAACGACCTTCCCAACCTCCTCCACCCCCTCCCTCCAACCCTCCACCTCCTCCGGGAATTCAGCCTCCGAATAAAGCGTTGCCTCCGCCTCCTCCAAACCATGTAAGTTTAAAAATACCTTGACATTTAAGAAAATCCATATTCAAAATATAATTTCAAAGGGGGGGGGGGGCCCCAAAACGG